TAAAGGTCAGCTGTAAAGCTGAAATACAGACAAACGGCTAAATGCACAGATGAAATACATCATTGGGAGCAGTTTTCCTCACCAAAGGATTTGTATTTCTGTCCATCCAGTCCTGAGATTTGCACAGTCTTGACACACAGCACAGACATATCTGGCAAGGCAGGGGACCTGATTTTCCTCTGCGGCAGTTCGGTAACAATTACAGGTCTTGTCACCCCTCCGGCCTGTGACTGATCAGTGAAAGCAGAAGCAGCAGACTGATGAGCTCTTCTCTCTGTCACTCTGCTCTCTGCTCCAATTAGCATGTTCCTTGCAGTGCAGTGCAGTACAACTGACTGGCTACTTGTGCTGGTTTTACCCCTATTGCTGTACATGTGACTGCAAGAGTCTGATACCAAGTCAAATTCAAGTAATTACATTGCTTGCATATTCATTAAAGGGTTATTAAAGCCTCAGTTTTTTGCATATATCTACTGCTAGCCAGCGGTATATATATGCAAAAAGTGTTTTAAAAAAACGCTTTAAAAGAGGTTAATACTTACCCCTGTCTTTCCCGCACGCTCCCTTCCGAAAATGTGAAAATTCTCAGACGGCCGCCAAGCGTCTAGGGGCGGGCACATGCGCAGTTCACATTTTTGGCCTGGAGACGAGACACAAGGTAAGTCTATGGACGGCGGGCACTCGCATACAGACACCGTGGGACAAGAAGTGACAGCAAGACCAGAGGAGTCAGCGATGGATCGGAGACCCACAGCAGCGCTGGAGGGACAGATGAAAACAACAGGAAAGTAGAAGAAGATCGGATTAAGAGACATCATTTAAGGTAAGTGCTGATATTAACATTGGGGGGAGCGAAAAATATTTTTGACTTTAATGTCACTTTAATGATTACAGAGCTGCATTTGTTGGAGTCTTCTATATCTACCTGGAGTTCAGCTACAAGACAATATTCACACAATTGAGGGAAGGTATTTTTTTACACACAGCTTCCTTCAGACTGTTCATACAAGTGAAGCACATTTGATGCAACATATTTTAATCTCCCTTAATCCACAATGGCTGGAAAGTGGAAATGTCAGTAGTGATTATAATGGAATTATCTTTCAGTACATTACAATGATAAGGTTTAGCTGCACGTAGACATGAGGCAAGGCTTGCAAGACTTGTAAGTTATCTTTTGTAGGAAAGATCCATAAACAGTAAAATTGTTCTTGCTGGAAACAAATGGTATATTTTTAAATAATGCATACAATGCGGGATCGGGATGGTAATAATAAAACAATACTTCCAGGAAGTAGTGTAAATGATCACCTACTGGGGCTGCTGGGAGATTGATGCCACTAAGAGCTGGGCGGGAAGATGTTTGAGGGTTCTGCGTCTAGTCGCCCAACTCTTAGCAACCTGGGAACTACTAGCCGGCGTTCCACTAAGCTCCTGGCAACCAGTGATGTCCCACTGAGCATTCCACGGAGCCCCTGGAAACCATCATGTCCTTGGTTGCCCGGGGCTCAGTGAGATGTTGGCAAGAGTTATTGCTAAAAACTGGACAGAGAAATGTGTAGGGCCCTTACACATCTCCGAGCCCAGCTCTTAGCAACCTGGGACGCTCTGGCCAGAAAGGGCCGCCCCCTCAGGTGACCCAAATAGATTCCACCTGAAGCAACAGCCTCAGGTTGCCTCATTACAGGCCCTGCATATGGGCGTTACCTTGCGTCGTCTGCATGTAAATGTAGGAATGCCCACTCTTCCAGACTGACATTCACCAATCCAGGAATGTTATTATGTGTATAAGCCCACCAAGAGCCAGAGCACTGCTGGCTGAGACAGGGTGCTGTGATGTTTTCAGGAAGCTTTGAACAGCACCCTAACATGACAACGCTGCTTCTTTATAGATACAGTACAGTAAGTAAGCATTGTCAATCTAAGACAGGAGATGTGTTACTGGCAGGATCACCAGGTAAAAATAAAGGTAAAAAGGCCAGAAAAACAGAAAACTAATGCAGCCTCCACATCCAAGTACTAGTAAGCTGCAATCTATTACATTCCCTTCCTTCACTTTTCTACATAGGTGGGTGGAGGTCCACGCCTCCAGCAAGTAAAACATTCTTACAAATATTAGTAAAGATTAAAAAACAGCTGATTTTCACAGACAATGTTGAAATCAGGACCATCGCATCCCCATACGGAGCTGTTTATGGCTTACCGCATATGTAATTGTTGCCCAATCAGTCCTTGGTCATGGCCATCATAAACCTGCCTTGTCTAGAAGAGATTTGAATGTAATGTTTATGTAGGCATCAATAATCTCTGCTGCTTATACAAGTTCCTAAGCGGCTGGCATTGTTCCACACATGAATAGTAACTATTTCCTGATAGGAAGTTTAAAATGTTGGTTGGGTGTGAGAAATAATATTAAACATGGAGATTTGCATAAAGAAAATGATTTGTATATAGCAAAATTTCCTAAGGCAAATAAAAAACCTGTGCATCTTCCTGTAACACTTTACACAGTCAGATTCACCAAAAGTTCACATCCACTCCCTCAAGGGGCAGAAGTTAGGAAAAGATGTCATGACTGATGGATTCGTCGTTTTTGTCTCTCTGTTAAAACCCCAATAAACACACAGACTGCGCGATGTGGATTTTAATGGCCACAGCAGCCCTTTTATGAAACAAACCAACGTTAACAATAACCAAAAGCAATAAACCAAATAATATACCGGTACAAATAAATACTCTAAACCAGTGGTTCTCAACCTGTGTAACCTCAGGACCCACATTCGTTCTTGGTCATTAAGTCGCGACCCAAGTCGCACGCAAGGCATTAGGGAACTGCGTGTCCTGGTGCAGGCGTACGCACTGTGGGTGGGGGGTGCGTAAGCGGTACCAGTCAAATGAATGGCAACGCAACACACCTCCCACACCAGAATGTGCGGTAGGTGCGATTGCGTGGTACAGTGCGTTAATCGCACGGTTCTATGCAAATGGGCCCTCAAAAACATTGACATACATACACACACAACCACAGACACAATCTCACACACGCACAGACACTCCAAAAAATGTTTTTGTTTTTTTTAAGGTCCACCCAGTCTCTCTATCTTATGTGAACTGGAGTGGATCCTCAGCCTGGCGTCCAGTGTGGGCTGTTGTGCTGTGACGGAGCTCCATCCATATGTGCATTGCTTGTACAGCTCCCTTGCGTGCCCTGTAGAGGTGCTGGGAGCCAGAATGTGATGTCACTCCGGTCTAGGCACCTCTACAGGACATGTGAGGGGGCTGTAAGCAATGCACTTATGGATGGAGCTTCCTCGCGGCCATAGCCCCATCCCATCCCACCTCAAGCTAACACTCGGCGCCGGGCAGCATATTTTGAATGGCTGCTTGGCGTGAGAACGAACAGTGCTATGCTGGGGGGAGGCAGAGGAGCCTCTTACCTAGGAAAGTGGAAGGCTTGCGGCGACCCACTGAACATGGGGTCGCCACCCACTTTTGGGTCACGACCCACCAGTTGAGAACCAAGGCTCGAAACGACTGTTGATCTAAGAAGGGGTCTTTGGGTGCCCAAACAGCCCAAATAAGGCCTCGCCTAACACTCCACCCATGTCCCCAGCCGCACCCGAACCAGGACAATTACTACTTCCAAGTTCCAAGGGGCCAGGCCCCACCCACTACACATCCTGACACCAAGTACCCATACTAGCTGATGGCCCCCCATTTATGTAATCAACTCCGATTTTTAGACCCCCCCCAAAGACCCCCTAACCCGCCAAGCTGCCGTGACAGAAATAAAAAACCCTGCAACCAGCAGAACGACAAAATTCAGGGAGGGAGGATGGGACAACCTACTTCCTTCGTCGATTTTCCAGAAAGGACGCCCCTCAGCCTTTGCAGTTCCTACCCATGCGGCTCCTCCTGGACACCTGACCCCAGCGTCCAATCAGGTAAGAGCAGCTATTCCCATTTTATTTGTAACTCCTTCTCCCGGGACTATTCCTCCCCCAACTCATGTAGCCCCTCCGCTCAGTCTTTCCAGGTCTGTCTTTTTTTTTGTAGTAGGTGCTGAAAGGGGCTCCTCAGTAACATAGAAATCCTCTCTCCGGCTGTGGCTCCTTTGTGCGGAACCATATAGGACATCCTTGTCACCATGGCTCTCTTGTGAACAGTTTTAGGATACTAAATCCATCAATCATGTATTGCTCCATAAGTGCAGTAAATCATGGCATATATCAGATTTAACAATGTATCACTTTAGAGTAATCAGAATAATAGAATTTCTTGGTTGGTTCCTGTGGGTTGCAAATTGTCATACTGAACGCACCCAAATATGACAGATCTCTACGTGCTATGGAGCAAAATAAAGAACGTTGAAAGTATTTGAGATGTACCCCAACAATACAGTATGTGACCAAAATTGTGGCCACACCTATACGAGCTAGTTCTCCTTCCAAAACCAGGGACATAATTATGGAGTTGCCTTCTCTTCTTCTCCTTCTCCCCCTTTGTGGCTAAAACAGCCTCCACTCTACTGTCAAGGCTTTCCAGAACAGTGTGAGGGAATTGTGCCCATTCAGCCAAAAGAAGAGGACAAGACCTCACAAAGGCTTTCTAATTCATCCCAAGGGTGTTCGTTAGGGTTGAGGTCAGGGCTCCGTGAAAGCCACTTCAGTTCTTCCACACCAAACCCATCAAACCATGTATTCATGAAGCCGGCTTTGTGCACAGGGGTACAGTCATTCTGGAACAGAACAGGTCCTTCCTCAAAATGTTGCCACAAGGTTGTGCTTCCAAGAGGTAGTGCAGCCAGACTATGAAATTTGGAGGGATGTACAGATACTGTACATTTGGCTATGTAACGTAGTTGTCATGGTCAGGTGTCCACAGCCTTTGGCCACATAGTCTATATGAGTGCCAGAATTCCAGGAAAGATCAGTCCAAACTCCAGTTACACCTCAGAGATGAAGTATAACACCAGTATATATTGTTTTCATGTCTTACAGATGCTGTTGGCTGCGTGGTACCCGAAGAGTGTGTAAAAGTTTGTGGGGCTGAAGTTGGCTGCTCCAATATCGCATACCCCAAACTGGTCATTGAGTTGATGCCTAGCGGTAAGTGATATTCCAATCTCACCAAACCTATTATACTCATCTTCCTTCTAGTACTTTTGTGGGTGGACTAATTCACAGGAGCAACAAACAGCATAGTCTAGCTTTATACATTGTTCAGCCGCATGCTACACCTCCTATACAGGAGGTTCCAAGATGTTTGGAGGGCCTATTCCAGCCTATTGTAGGAGATACCTGAGATTTTACCTCAACCTCCGTGCAGAATTTTGGGAAAGCCATTAAGTTAATCACTGTTAATCATGTTTTATTTTTCAGCTGTGTGTGAATGTTTGGTGTTTTTAATGCCATGTTTTGCATAGGGGAGGTAGGGGATCTAAAGAATAAGAGGACCCATTTTTTAAGCAGTTAAGTCCTTCAGAGACAACAGATGCCAAATGGAGAACAGAGGCGTTGTCCAGGTTTGCTCATGATATAAACATTGCAGGGGAATTGATCAAAACTGGGGCAGACAAAATCTAGAGCAGCTTTGCATGGCAACCAATCAGCTTTTCCCTTCCATTTTCAAATCCTAACTGAACAAACTGTAGAGAGAAGCTGATTGGTTGCCATGCACAACTGCTCCAGATTTTCTCTGCTCCAGTTTTGATAAATTCCCTTCATTATGTTTTGCCCTGCAGTGGTTGTAGTTCAGTAATGGCCTGCAGCTCAGCTTTTTCTCAGTTTTTGTACCTCTTACATTTTCGTGGTTTGCTCCCCTTAATCCCTGCTTATGGTGACAGGTCTGCGCGGACTGATGATCGCCGTGATGATGGCTGCTCTTATGTCATCGCTGACTTCCATCTTTAATAGCAGCAGCACGCTCTTCACTATGGACATCTGGAGGAAGATCAGGAAGAACGCAAATGAGAAGGAGCTGTTATTGGTTGGAAGGTGAGTAGATGTTACAGTATTGTTCAAACTGATATCATGTATTGAGAATATAATTAAGGCCGCAATTTCCACCCTTTCCAAAATCACCTTAATTTAAAGTACACCTGAATGGTCAAGACGACAGTTTCCCTTGATAGCCCTTTCCTTCTTTCACTGGTACCTTCACTAAGCTCCACCACTGTTCTATTAGCTTGCTGGAGCTCTTGGAAATATTGTACATAGTATTTCCGGGTATGAAGGAGCATGTAACTATCTCCCATCCCTCTTATTGTATTGCTTAGCGCCTGTGGGTAATGAGACGCCGCCCAGCTTCCTGGTTGGCCGGGAAACTGGTTCCATGCTAGCGGAAGTACCGGTATCAGTTCTGGTATCGATGAGTACCGAAAGATAAATATCGGTACTCCTGCTCGATACCTCAAAAACGGTATTGGTGCATCCCTAATATATATATATATATATACACACTATATTGCCAAAAGTATTGGGACACCCCTCCAAATCATTGGATTCAGGTGTTCCAATCACCACCACGGCCACAGGTGTATAAAATCAATCACCTCGGCATGCAGACGCTTCTACAAACATTTGTGAAAGAATGGGTCGCTCTCAGGAGCTCAGTGAATGCAAGCGTGGTACCGTGATAGGTTGCTACCTGTGCAATAAGTCCATGCAAAGCGTGGGATGCCGTGGTGTAAAGCACGCCGCCACTGGACTCTAGAGCAGTGGAGACGTGTTCTCTAGAGTGACCAATCACGCTTCTCTGTCTGGCAATCCGATGGACGTGTCTGGGTTTAGCGGTTGCCAGGAGAACTTGCCTGACTGCATTGTGCCACGTGTAAAGTTTGGTGGAGGGGGGATTATGGGGAGGGGGGTTTCAGGGGTTGGGCTTGGCCCCTTAGTTCCAGTGAAGGGAACTCTTAAGGCATCAGCATACCAAGACATTTTGGACAATTTCAACTTTGTGGGAACAGTTTGGGAATGGCCCCTTCCTGTTCCAACATGACTGCACACCAGTGCACAAAGCAAGGTCCATAAAGACATGGATGGGGGAGTTTGGGGTGGAGGAACATGACTGGCCTGCACAGAGTCCTGACCTCAACCCGATAGAACACCTTTGGGATGAATTTGAGTGGAAACTGCGAGTACGGCCTTCTCCTCCAACATCAGTACCTGACCTCACAAATGGTCCAACATTCCCATAGACGCACTCCTAAACCTTGTGGACGCCTTCCCAGAAGAGTTGAAGCTGTTATAGCGGCAAAGGGCGGAGCCAACACTCAATATTGAACCCTACAGACTAAGACTGGGCTGTCATTAGAGTTCATGTGCGTGTAAAGGCATCCCGATACTTATGGCAATATAGTGTATGTATATATATATATAAATCCTGTATAACAACATAATAATATTATTAATTATAGTAATTATAATAATAACAACAACATAAATAATAATAGTAACAATTAACAGAATAACAACAATAGTAATAATACTAATAATAATAATATAATTATTAACATTTTGGCTTTATAAACATGTTAATCTGCCATTCTATGAAGACCTTTCTGTAATTTAACATTGTGCAGGTGATTTTTTTTTCTGGTATATAAACATGAAACATCTGATAACACCGTATCGTACATATCATTTGTTTTTGTCTGTAAGATTCAGGTATTAAAAGCTTCTGAAAGATTTCTTTATAACCATCAATTAAACAGACCCATGTAGGTCAGTGTTTACATTGTAAATGCCTTAGGTCTGCAAAACGTATTCAGTGAAGTGTTCAGGAAGATGCAGTCACAGAGTATGCCAAACAAGCCTACACATGACCGAGCGCTTCACTATTCATTTTAGGAGAGATTAAAAATGTTGAGTTGACAATGTCTGTTGGATGATTGATGGTTAGAGCTATACATATCCGTGTGAGGAAACGTTTTACCATCATTCTGTTGTAAGCTAATTGGAGTCCTTTACGGTAATATCGTCTGGCTGAGTTTCATATTAACTGTCCATGTGCAGCAGTTGGAAGATGTAGAGAAGCCAGGAATGGAATGTTTTATTTATATGAGATCTTTAAACTGTATAGTGAGACACAACAACTAAAGGAAGAAATGTATATATACACATACACTGATCAGCCATAACATTTTTACCACCTGCCTAATGATGAGTAGGTCCCCTTTTTGCCACCAAAACAGCCCTGACCCGTCAAGGCATGGACTCCGCTAGACTTCTGAAGGTATGGTGTGGTGTCTGGCACTAAGCTGTCAGTAGCAGATCCTTTAGGTCCTGTAAGTTGTGAGGTGGGGCCCCCATGGATCTGACTTTTTTTCCCAGTACATCCCACAAATGCTGGATTGGATTGAGATTGAGATCCCACTTCCAGGTTCCATTGTAATATATCCCCCACTCTTCCAGGTACCATTGTAATATATCCCTCCCACTTTTCTTCCAGGTAACATTTTATTCACTTCACCTCTCAGTGTTCAGAATGTTATGGCTGATCGGTATATATCACCATATATCATATATATCACCACAAAGGGAACCTCCGCATAGACTCTGTCATCCTGTCGGACATTGCAGGCCCATTATTCCGTCCTGCAGTAAGTTGTACCATTACTACAGCTGGATAAGAAGATGATTTTTAGCCATGATCCTGTTGGAGGAAGAAAAAATAGGAACACTGTGCCTGGGAGAGTGGGAGGTCTGCTCCATTTACTGGCATATGGTCCTAACCGAATGAGTGGGGTGAGTGGTTACTCCATTGTGTGATGCCAAAGAGATGTTAGGAAAATCCAATCTGTATGGTTTTCAATCAGTCAGGCCTGACCCATAGACTTAGCAAGCAACAGTGCAGCAAAGTCTGTGTCTGTAACAAACAAGTACCATGCTCCCAGGTACATATAAAATCACACAATACACACAGATTGATTGATTGGTGCTTTATGAGGAGACAGAAGAATGAGGAATTTATGATTTCGGGTGAATCATCTTTACCCACACAGGAGAGAAGCAGGCAAACTACACCAGTTTTTATGAGCAAGCTGCTTTGCCTTTCATTCCCAGCCGCGGTTCATCCCTCAGTGATGGCTCCTTCCTAGTGAATGGGCAGGCTAATTATTGGTATTGTCTGCCGCACAATTAGGCCTCATACAATTATCATATATTCTCATGTAATGGCCAGGAATTGAATCACTTTACATTCCACATTTTCACATTAAATCTATTAAGCATCAATTAACATTTTTCCTAAATTATTTATTGAAATTAAATTTGTGACATCAATTACGGGATTAATTAATGATTATTTTCATAGCAGAGCTGTGTTGTGTTAGCGGTATGGCATGTTTGCATTGTTAAAAGGGAACCCCGGGCTTTACACAGTAATAAATTTATAGCCAGTCTGGTGCCGACTTGCTGGAATGGTCGATACCCCTTAACCAGGAATCACATAAAGCAGACATAGCAGGACACAGGAAAACAAATTGACTGTAATTATCGCCACACACAATGATTACTGGCAGTGTAACACTGACAGCCCAGATACATTAGTATTGGGTACTGTGGGGTACATGCAGCATAGGTGATGGGAAGATGTCTCTGCTCAATTTACTGCTCGTGTGTGAGAGAAGGAAGTCTGACATGGTAAAGCTGGCCATACACCTTAGAAAGCCACCCTTGATCTCTAGTCAGTGACTTTGCCTAGGCAGTGTTGATGGCATCAATCTGCTGCAAGCAGGGGGAAGCATTTTCTCAGTCTCCTCTCCCCCAGTGATTAGACTATATGTTGTAACTTTGCAGCAAGTCACAAGCTGAGAGGCTGCTCTTTGTCAGACATTTGTGAATGCAGTCAATAACTGCACCCAGGGTCGTCCCGAGGCCTGGTGTCACCCAGGAGCGGGGACCGAGTGACACCCCGCCATGACGTCATGGCGCATGCGCGGCTATCTAATTGAGGACTGCCGGCGGCCAACTTGGTGGTGGACGCCGGCAGAGAGAGGAGGGAATGTTCACTCGTCGGGAGGAGGTATGCCGTCGGGTCCCCTTCTCTCTCCTGACACTGTCAGGGTCTCGGTCCGAGTGCCCAACTTTTTTAGAAGGGGTGACACCAAAATGACTGCCAGTCATTTTGGTCTCACCCCTCCAATGGTGTCACCCGGGTGCGGGCCGCACCTCCCTTGTGACGCCACTGACTCCACGGGCACCAGAATTTACATGATGGTGTCATCTTTCAGCCGGCATCTCAGTCCAAGAAGTAGATGGTGACCGTGGATGATGCCTGAATGGCTCTGTCCTTCAGGAGAGAAAAGCAGATGAAGGCATTGTCAGGGGCGGTACTGTGATATCTATGAGAGGTAATAAATACCTGAAAGTGTTACACTTACACATCACTCATCATGCAAAATATATCTGAGTCTAAGTGCACTTTCTGGATGAAAGCGCAGCTGCTAGATGTGCTCCTGAAATCAGCGCCCATGTGGACGTTGCTTTAACCTGGATAACCGTACATTTATTATATATCCTTATACAGCTCCATCATATTAAAGAAAACAGGAAACATATATCCATATACCAAATCCATAAATATACCATAAACTAAATGTATGAATGCCCCCATATCTGTAGCAGCTGCCATTGCAGAAGAGCTTCTGGTATTATCTCAGCCCGGTGACACCTGAGTCTCTAGCAGGAATCTGCAGGATGGCAGCCATGTACAAGCAGGATCCCGGCTCGCCTGCCAACTGACCTGAATAACCGTTTTTAATTGATTTTAATTAAACAGTGCTGCTGCGGTTGAAGCAAAACACGGTGACTAAGTGCTCATGACATTACTGCACTAAATCAAACTTGTGAAGCTTCACTTAAAGTAAACTCATCAAATTTGTTTCCTTTCCTTTAAACGAATGTGTCACAAGTGTGGCCGATTCAAAATGTGCAGGCAGTGGAAATCTAAAGCCAAAATTTTAATTTTTCATTTTGTTTAAAGTATTGGAGTG